TTTAATTTTCATCAGAACTCTTGCTGCAGCATTTTGAATCAGCTGAAGGCTTTTAACTGCATTTTGTGGACATCCTGATAGTAAAGAATTACAATAGTCCAGCCTTGAAGTAACAAATGCATAGACTCCTATCCAGGAGTGACACTGAAAATAATGTTAAAATAATAATAATTTTGGCAATATTCTGGTGGTGAAAGAAGGAAATCCTAGAAATCTGTTTAATATGGGATTTAAATAACATGTCCTGGTCAAATATGACACCAAGGTTTTTTACTTTAGTACCAGAGGTCAATTTAATGCCATCCACATTAATCGATTGACTAAGCAGTTTCTTTTTCAAAGATTCTGAATTTAGAAGCAGAACATTTAAAGTCATCCTAGTTTTTATGTTTTCAAGACATGCCTGTAGTCTATCTAACTGGTTGTGCTTTTCAGGATTTATGGATGAGTAAAGCTGAGAATCATCATCATAACAGTGAAAATGTAAACCAAACATTGTGTAGACAAACAAGGTCTATCGGTTCTGATTCTACAGAGAAGCAGAAGTCAAGTGCTGCTGATAAAATGTACTGATTGATTAACTGATCGTCAGCAAGTGTAAAAACCTTCATAAAACAAGATGTTTCTGCTGTTTGCTCACCTGGAACATACTGTTGTGTGTTATAACAATGCCAAGAAGGAAAGACATTAGCAATGTTAGTTGTTGCTGCCTGTGAATGTGGGAAAGGTTGTAGGACCAATAATGAACCCCAATTAGTTTCATTACTCTAAGGTGGAAAAGATTATTCACAAGCTCAAACTATTCAAGACTGTTGCTACTTTTCCAAGAAGTGGATGTCCCACTATCTTCACCCTGAGATCAGACAGGACAATGCTTTACGAAACTGTAAAAATGCTAGAATTACAAAAAACTGTTTGGAAGCAATGCTAGTGGAAGTCTTTTCAGTCTATAAAGAGTCTACAGATTATTTGGCCATAATCCATGTCACCACATCAATGTTCAGCAAAATGATGTAATCCTCAGAACTCCATTTTACTCTACATGCCTCAGTTTGCATAGATAGTTGAATGAAAGGACTGGAAGGAGAAGCATTCTCTCTCTAAAAAGAACAAGGCAGCAGAGCTTAGGTTTGCAAAGTTAAATTTGGGCAAACCACACAATTCTAATGAAAAATATTCTCAAAGAGAAGAAGATGCTGCATTTGCACAAAATATCAGAATCTCATACTAACTACCAACCATGGTGGCAATGGGTTGATTAATTGGACTTGCAACATAAGACATCAGCACCTTACACAAGTCTGCAAACATAAATGAACTGAACAGCAACCCTCTAAAAAAGGGTTAGCCAAAGATACTTCACAATGATGTCACACTAATCTAGTCATGCACCAGATCACTACTTTCATGTATTGCGGTGAAAGGTAAGCTCTTGAATCATGAGGTGTACTTTCTTTTACCGAATGCACAGAGGCCTGGGAACAGCTGTAGGGCCGAGTATGGTGCCAGCCCTCCAGAAGTGTGCATAAAAGAGTTGATGGCTGTACAGCTGTAGCTTCTCCCTTCATGTGGATGGTGGTAAATCTTCAGGTCATGTTGAGATTTTTGAAGAATCATCAGATTAGACATACAATGGGACATATTCATCAACATAATAATCTAGTTCACCACATTGCTTTAAAATGCTGCTTGCTGATAGCTGCATCAGAAAAAAAGTCTGACAGGCGCGAGTCCTTCCTGGGCTGGATGGGGGAGAGGGGGTTAATGGCAGGCTGTGGGTGGCACCTGGCTTGTACAGAAGAGATTATTACAGTGTGTGTGTGTGTGTGTGTGTGTGTGTGTGTGTGTGTGTGTGTGTGTGTGTGTGTGTGTGTGAGAGAGAGAGAGAGAGAGAGCGAGCGCCCTGAGTGATTGGGGCAGACAGCAGCCTCTGTATTGCTGGCTGGCCTGCAGATTTAGCCGACCTGTTTTAGACACTCTAATCTGGATTAACTGCAGCAGTGTGTCAGTGGGGAGGCGGACCAGAGGCCCCCACCCCTTCCCATCCAACCGGCCACCACCAGCCTCTGCCCCTTCACCTGCTTTTCCTCTATCCCTCTCACTTCCCCTCTCATCTATTCTTTGTACCTGTCTTGCTCCTCCGTCCCATCCTTCCATCCACCTGGCAGCCAGTGCTGCCTGGCTCTGGAAGTTTTCAGGCCTCAGTCAGTCTCTTGGTGTGCGGATCACACAGTTTGGTCTTAAAAACAAAAATGCTTGGTTGCATCATTCTGATTGTGTCTGTTTGAGCCCAGCTTTATGGGGGAAGGGCGGTTGGACAGGGATTAAACCAACTCTGTCCTCTCGCCTACTTCCCCATTTGCTGTTAGGATCTATTAAGCATAGATTTCATTGGTGTAATCAAAGTGCTTAGGGTTTTTATGATCATTTTTTATCAGAGAAAAATAAGTTTAATAAACTTTATATTTTGTTTTTCAAATCTCATCACACTTGGACCAGTAAATAATTCATTAAAAAAAATTAAACTATTCTAAAATTTTAAAGCAGACTGAATTTAAACAGTACATGCATGGACCTCCTGCCTGCTCACACACACATGCATACAGTACATACAGTAAATTCACTCGTGAGTGATATTTTCTCACTTTTCAACACTGCACCATTCCTATTCCTTATCCTGCTTACAGTTTCCCATCTGCCGTGTCTTCACCCTGAATCCCTTTTCCTGAACTCCTTCCATCCACAAATCCTTTTCTTATGCTCTGCTTTTCCCTCTGTTTCTTCCCGTTCGTTCTCCACTCTGACCATTCCGTTTCCTCTTTGTTTGCTGCGGCTGCCATCATCTTTTCAGCTCCACCAACTGAATGGATTGCTCTGTCCTTTCTATCTTTATCTGGAGATAAGATACTTAGTTTTCAGATAAAGCATATTATGATAAATCAAATGAGCTTTATCACTTTGGTGCATCTGGGTGTTTGTGTGCATGTTTGTGGGAATTTAGCATGTGCAGCTGTTTTGGAGATCCATGTTGGTGGCAAGGAATGTGTTGAGGTGGGCTGGCATGGGTGCAGATGTAGAACAGGATAGTTGTTTAGAACTATCAGGGAAACCCGGAAGCAAATATATAATGGAGGGTGGGGGGCAGGGGGTATGTTGACACCTGAATTCTTGATGTGAACTGATATTCATTTATACTTGATGTATTTGAAGATGTGTTAGAGAGAACTGAGGTGCTCTGTAATCTGGATGGACATTCTGTGAGTCTGATGTCTTCTGGACTTGCAGATTTACTGGCACCCCCGGTAGAGAGGAAAGGCTTAACATTAATTCAGATTTTATTATGGCATCATCTTATACTGAAAGACATTTAATTTGAGAACATTTACTGTAGATAGTGGAAAGGAAATCCCCATTAACAAATACATTATTTGGGCAAAATCACTGGATGTACAATTATTGGAACCCTTGCTTTTAATAGTTTGTACAACCTTCTTTTGCCAAAATTACAGCACCTTGGGTTCTCCTGTAACAGTTTGCAGGCTTGGAGCATACAGAAAGAGGATCTTTGACTATTCATCTTCGCACAATCCACACAGGTTTTCTCCTGGATTTAGGTCTGGGGCTGATATGGTCATTGGAAGAAGGTGTTTTTTTGTATTTGGAGAACCATCTCTGTGTTGTTTGTTTTGTTTATATCTTTTGGATCATTATCCTGCTAAAAGATCCTATTTTCAGTTTTCTGTCAGCTACTGGTAAGATTTCATGAAGTCATGCATTCTAATAATGTTCCCAAGGCCTTTAGAAGCTAAACAGGTCCAAAGTGTTATAGATCCTCCACCGTACTTAACAGTAAGCATGAGGTGTTTTTGCAAATATCCATCCTCAGTTTCATACCTTAATCGTACTCTCATCCGATCAAAGTACGCAGTTCCAGTTAAAGTTCCAGCAGAGTTAACCAAACCCCATGTCCATGCTAGCGATGGTAGGGCCAAAAAGGCTTTTCTCTGGCATGTGGATAGCTTCCCAGAGCTCCAGATGCCACTCTTTGCTGTAGATCTCTGACAGTAAGATTTGGAGATTTCTTTACCTCCCATACCAGGGATGGCTAATTAGAAGTTTTTAGAAACTTTGATTAACTTAAAAAAATAAACATTAATTTAAAAATTAGGTATATAGGATCTTCCAATAGTCAGTCATTTTCTACCGTTTATTCCATAGTGGGTCACGGGGGAGCTGGTGCCTATCTCCAGCAGTCTATGGGCGAGAGGCAGGGTACACCCTGGACAGGTCGCCAGTCCATCACAGGTCAACACACAAACAACCACGCACACACACTCATTCATACACCTAAGCTAAGGGCAATTTAGAGAGACCAATTAATGCCTAGCAGGCAAGTCTTTGGACTGTGGGAGGAAGCCGGAGTACCCGGTGAGAACCCACGCATGCATGGGGAGAACATGCAAACTCCATGCAGAAAGAGCCCCCACTGGGAATTGAACCCAGGACCTTCAGGACCTTCTTGCTGCAAGGCAACAGTGCTACCAACTGCACCACCGTGCAGCCCTTTAATAATTTAGTAAAAATTATTAATGTGGATTTTCTCATACTGAATAAATGCAATTAAATTTAAGGTTAGATTTTCTAAGTGTGGGATGATGCCACAGAAAATCATTTATTTTTGAACATTTTTACCAAATGTGCCAGTAAATATAACCGGAATTCCGTATCTAAGGGGTGAAACGTTTGTTTATATCAAAACTGAGGCTGAAACTAACTTTTGGGTCTGGGACCTGGGACACTTGGTCCAGTTCTGCAGCCTGTGTGCCACCTTGTGCGCGTATGGTGCGCGCGTGTGTGTAAGGGTGGGAGGGGTTTCTGCTGTCACTTGCTCCCTCTAATTAGCAGCGCGTCCTGGAGAAGAAACTCAGAGCAGAGAAGTGTCCAAGGCGCAGAGGCATCCGGGGGCCACTTCACCTGTGAGGTGCCTCTCAATCCGGATGTTCAGCGCGACCCTCCGTCCTCCGCTGCTGAGTCGACGCTCAGCTCAAAGTACAGTTTAAAAAGCAATTCCTGTTTGTTTCTCCTGCGCGTACTCGCATCGCCTCCTGCGTGGGTCCCAGCAGACGCACCGACTGGTTGGTCGCGCTGCTCTCCGAGGGTCCCACAGCTGCCGCGCTGCGTGAACTCCAAGTCAGCGACAGTACTTCAAAAGCCTGCTAGAAGGATGATGTCCTACATTAAACAACCCCACCATTACACTATGAACGGGTTAAACCTGCCTGGTCCAGGGATGGATGTTCTTCACACCACCGTCGCTTATCCCCGTAAGTGCAACCTGACATTTTTTTTATTTTTTTTATGCTTTCTCACGTTTGAAATAGATTATCTGTTTGTATTACTTAGCATAACATGTCCTCCACAAGATGCGTAAATGCGCACAGGTTGGTTAATTGTTTGTGTTGACGGAAGGTCTGTCTGAATATTATACATGTATGTGATTAATATGACATTGATTTAGGGAGAAAAAAAAACCTTTCAGCATTAGTCCTGGTGGTTTGGGATGATTTAGGAGTCTTCTCCTTTTCAAAGTACTCTGCTTTGGAACACAGGCTGTTTTTAAACTTATAAAGGCTAACTTTACCCTGTTTTTGTTATTTGTTTTTAAGGTTCTTGCATACTGAGATAAGCATTAGATATAACTAAAACAAAGTCCTCTGACTTTTTAAGTATTCTCTTCATTAATGTCACACGAGTAAAATGTGGAGGGAACAGCTGAAATGGTCCCTCTGAGTCAGCTACAAATAAAGCTGTGCTTCATGGAGAGCAAACAGATTAAATTATAAAATACCTGAGTAAATATAATGTTTGTTTTTTTTCCTGCTAAAGGAAAACTGCCTTCTGACATACTTTACACATGATTCAAGTTTATTCAACTTTGTACTGGTAGAAGTCAGTGCCAAAAGGGTTTTTTACGTAATGTGTTAGATTGTTTCCACATATAGTCACTTTAATGCATGCTGTTTGTGATGTCAAGTTCACTGAGTTATGATGATATTTAATGTTAACATATTTGCATCTGCATCTCCTGGGTTGGTAGCCACTCCACGGAAGCAGCGGCGGGAGCGCACCACCTTCACTCGGACACAGCTGGACATCCTGGAAGCCCTGTTCTCCAAGACCCGCTACCCAGACATCTTCATGAGGGAGGAGGTGGCCCTGAAGATCAATCTGCCTGAGTCCCGGGTGCAGGTATGCAGCCATACTAATCTCCTTCTGTTTGGTCTTCCCTGACTGCAATAAGAAAAACTAACTGTACATTTTGTGAATGAGGTTACCTGTTTGATTCTATCAAACCCAATCTAAGTAACAGTTATCTTCTTAACCCACATAACTGACAATCTACATAAACAAACATTTCCTAGACTGTTGTTTTCTAAATGTTGGCCCTTTCTCTGGACCTTCAGGTGTGGTTTAAGAACCGCCGTGCCAAATGCCGCCAGCAGCAGCAGCAGAGTAGTGGCCAGTCCAAGCCTCGCCCTCCAAAGAAAAAGGCCTCACCAGTGCAGGAGCCCAGTGCCCCTGATCCAGTTCCCAATCCATCTGGTTCCTACAGTCCCTCTTCAGCTCAGTCAGCCGGGCCCAGCCTGGCCTCCAGCTCCAACACAGGAAACACCGCTGTGTCCATCTGGAGCCCAGCCATCTCCCCCCTGCCCGACCCCCTGGCCTCCTCTGCTCCTTGCATGCAGCGACCATCACCCTACCCAATGAGCTACGGCCAACCCTCGGCCTACACCCAGGGCTACGCCAGCACCACTTCCTACTTCACTGGCCTGGACTGCAGTGCCTACCTGTCCCCCATGCACTCGCAGCTGTCAGGCACCGGGGGTGCTCTCAGTCCCATCACTGTCCCCTCTATGGGGGGTTCTTTGAGCCAGTCCCCAGCTTCACTGTCTTCGCAGGGCTACAGTACCGCCTCGTCCCTGGGCTTCACGTCTGTGGACTGCCTGGACTACAAGGACCAGCAGGCCTGGAAACTGGGCTTCACAACAATGGACTGCCTGGACCACAAGGACCAAAACTCCTGGAAATTCCAGGTCCTCTAGGAACCAAGGAACAATGTCCTCCATGAGCGTGTTGAAGTGTGTGACTTAGTCCAGCATGAGAAGATTTGTTTCTGCTGATTGTCAGTTTCATGTTTGTAGGCTGTTTGTATTTTTCTCTCTGAGGTGAGCTCTGTAATAATGGACTGAACTGGAAGGATTTATGAGATGGAGGAACCTGTGTCTGAGCGATGCCGAATGACCCATGAGTCTGTACTCCTCATACTGTGTTAAATACAAAAACAAAAGCCTTTGAAGAGTATGCAGGGTTAAACATTACACACACATAACACTTCTTTTGTGTTTTAAACTGGCATTGTGTTAGAGGTAAAGGGAGAGTCATTTTAACATGAAGGAACTATAGGCTGCATCCTCCTTCAAGGTTTTTCTCAACTATTTATTATAATTATTTTATTCTGCATTTAGCACACATTTTGCTTTTATTTAGATACTTTTGGGCATTTGTGTTAATTATAAGTGTTAGAGTTTAGTATCGTTTTAATCTGTTTGATAGAGGAAAAAAAAGATGACCAGTTTTAGCTGTGTGATATATTAAAGTGGTTTATTCTTTACACATGTGTGCACTGATACTCATTAAAATGAATTATAGTTTGGAAGTCTTCTTGTTTCTCAGGGGTTTGGCTGACAGAGATGGAACCTGATCTAGAGTCAGGGGTCAGCTGAAGTGTGGTTCTGTCCAGAATGAAGCTGTCATGTTTCTCATACGGCCTGCATGCCTCTCTCTGCTCCATCTTGGTTATTTTAGTTGATCTGATTCTGGGAGTGTCCCAATCCTCTTAGCCTCCCTTCAGCAGTGTCCTAAGTGAATTAGTTAGGATTATTGCCCTATCCCCCTCTGTCTCTCACCCACCTCAACCTTTTCCACCTCATCCACCCCTGGCTTGCTTCCTTTATCTCTCCACCTCTGTTACTTTTTCCGTTTTGCTACAGTTTTGGCTTTTCCACGCTGCCCTGTATGAACAAACAGGCAGTGATGGAGTTAAAGAATAGACTGTCTTTATCAAGCATCCAGATCCCTGTTCAGGGTTCTCAGTGGGTACCCTTCTCTCTGTCGCCCCCTCCACCATCCTCCACAGCTCTTTGGACAACTTGGTAATCCCCTCATGACCTGAATACTACATAAACGTAGCTATGACTGCAAATATGCATAAAGATTTTAGAGCAGTGTGTGCAAAGATCTTTGTTAAAGGTCAACTTCATTTAGTCCATAACGTTTTTTAAACTAGTTCACTGGCCTTAAAGGCTAGTTTGTGTTTTTAAATGTAAAGATAATCTTCCACACTATTTCAAATATCATAAAATTGTCAATCAATTTAATTCAAAGGCTTCAGGTGTGGCTGTTTATAATGAGAAATATGGCATAAATAAATATAGCCATTCTGTAATATAAAATATTTATTCTAATTAAAATTTTCAGACATTCATCTTCCTGTAGATGTAGATCTGATCACTCTTCTGAACTATTAGAAATCTGCTGCGTGGTTGAAGTGAGTGTTTAACCTAATACATTTCAAAGCACTTTTCAACAGCCCACACTGACCTAATCCCACTCTGTGCTCTGTTTAATCCCTCTACCCTCCCTCTCTGTGGCGCGATTGGTTAATCCCTGTGTCTGGGCGTTCTGATTGGTTAACCCCTCTTGGAGATGGCAGTACACTCATAATCTCCCCTCTTAGCACTGTGTGTTTCAGACAAACATTTGCACTGTAATCCCAGGGAGGAGCAGATGTGATGGGGGATGGAGAGTACCCAGCAGACCTTGGCGAAGGTGGTTGAAGGGGAGAACAAACATAACATGCCGTGAGAGAGGGAACATTTAGAGAGGAACAGTCTTAAGACATATTTCTTTATTCTCTCATAAAGGGGATTACATGACATACTCATGAGTTGTCAGTGTTTTAACTGCAGAGGAATTTTGACTTAGCTATTTTAACTCATGTGCACTACTCACAAAATGTTAGGGATATTCAGTTTTTGGGTGAAATTCTAGGATGAACCTAAAATGCACTATAACCTTTACAGCTGAATTTAATGTCACCTTCTCTAAACGTCTCAATGCACATATCCAATTGTTTAGTGTTTCTATACTTTTTGTAAAACTTGCTGTTCTCTAACAAGGAGCTTAATGGCAAAATTCACAACAGGTTTTTGATCCATGAATCAACCAATAACTTTCCTGCTTCAACCAGAATTTGTGTTTAAACAGTCCTCCTCATCATGCTGTTCACATTTTAACAACACGAGACCAAGACGACACCCAACAACTGTTCACCAGCAACTCTCCATGGCAAGGCTTCAAACAGGATGTTCTCAGATGGAGGTGGTCACTGAGCTTAGAGTGTCACAGAGTGTCATCAGCAGGTTGTAACAGAGAGACTGGAAGAGTCACAGAAAGTAGAAGTGGACGTCCTTTGGCCACATTCCACACTGATGGCCGCTTCA